AGATAGATAGATAGATAGATAGATAGATAGATAGATAGATAAATAAATACATAGATAAATAAATAAATAAATAAATAAATAGATACATAGATACATAGATAAATAAATAAATAAATAATTGGGTCACTAAAGCTAACCTTGTTTAGTTTTATTTTTTATAATAAATAATACTGTTTTATGAAAATGTGGCTAACAATAACATATTATAGGGAAAATGTGAAATAGTTGGATGCGACGGGAAGCTAAACTCAAAACTTGTTAGAGACAAATGCGGAATATGTCAAGGAAATAACACGGAATGTAGCGAAATCAAGTTGTCTGCCGAAAAAAAGTTAAAAAGAGGTAAGCAATTTACGAAATCAACGTTAAATTGTCAAACATAAATTCAATTTTTAGAAGTCAGTAGGGTTTCAATCCTACCGAGAATGGCGAGGGAAATAAAAGTGGAAATCAATGTAACGGTCTATCATTCTCAACATCCATCTGTTGCTATTATACTCAAAAATCGACGTAAAAGGAAATACACCGTTACAATACCGAATACTGTTATCCATAAAAAAATCGCGGAGGGTACAAAATTTTTATACAGGAAATACAATAATAATCATAGTATTTGGGCGAAGGGACCGCTTCATGCTGAAATTATTATTTTGGTAAGTTATGAAAATTATAAAACAATTTCTTTTCCTTCGTTACCGAAGTAACAATGTTATGTTAGATAAGTATTTACAAACCTGAATAATTTTATAACTTTTTTAATTAGGGCTTTATAGTTTAAAAAGTGTTATTCCTTATAATTAATATTTTGGATCAAACACAAATTTAATTTTCACTAATTGCATTACATCCTCAATATCTAGTTAAAAATGAGATAATGAGTCTTCTTCAGTAAGCCATTTGCCATGACCTAGACTATTTACTAGATATTGCGGGTGTAAGTCAATGCTGTGTGAGACTAGTACTAGTACACATAATAATTGTTTAATTTTCAAATTACAATGTTTTTAATTAAGATGGATCAATTTTGAAAATTTTCAGGGGTTTCTCTACAAGACACAGAAAGTAGTTAAAATGCAAACCTTTCAGAGACATTGAACACAGAAAACAGCATTGCGATATTTTGATTCGTTTAAAAGACATAGAACATTTTTGGGATTCAATTACTTTACTTAATTACGAAAATGTTTTATTTTAAGAGATATATTTTTTTCAGTTTTGTGTGACCTAAATTTATCATTTTTTAAAGGAAGATAGTAAATAATTTTTTAAATCCGTGTAAAATTCCTCTCAAATGATGTCTCATGCGTGAAGTAGTTAATGTTCATTATGTTTTAAATTAATGAAGTGTCCAAAATATAACGTAAATTACTTATTTAAACTTCGCGGGTATTATGAGAGTATACAATTACTTTTTTGTAAGTTGGGAGTACTGTCCTTGATATTTGAACAGAGTTTAAGTCAATATATTCAATTGCTGCATAGCAACTCGTGTTTTTGTAAACGTACAAAAGTGAGTTTATCGATTTTCATTATGTTTTAAATTAATGAAGTGTCCAAAATGTAACGTGAATTATTTATTTAAAATTCGTGGGTATTATGAGAGTATACAATTACTCTTTTGGAAGTTGGGAGTACTGGCCTTGATATCTGTGTAGAGTTTAAGTCGATATATTCAATTGCTGCATAGCAACTCGTGTTTTTGCAAACGTACAAAAGTGAGTTTATCGATTTTCATTATGCTTTAAATTAATGAAGTATCCAAAATGTAACGTGAGGTACTTATTTAAAATTCGCGGGTATTATGAGAGTATGCAATTATTTTTTTGTAGGTTGGTAGTACTGTCCTTGATATCTATGCAGAGTTTAAGTCAATATATTCAATTGCTGCATAGCAACTCGTGTTTTTGTAAACGTACAAAAGTGAATTTATCGAATTTCGCTATGTCTGATGTTGTTGAGCAAAGAATTTGCATTAAATTTTATTTACGGAATGAATATTCTGCTGCGGAAACATTGAACATGTTACAGAAGATCTTTAGTGGTGAGGTCATGTCGCAAAAAATGTTTACAAGTGATACAAAGACTTTAAAGAAGACACAGAAAGCGTTAAGGACCACCAACGTACAGGACGAGCATCCACATCAACCGATAAACAACATGTCAATCAAATCAAAGATCTTGTACTCGATAACCGTCGATTAACAACAAGAGACCTTGTTGATACTGTTGGCATTTCAAAAGCTTCAGTAAATACCATTTTAAAAAATTTGTTGCGCCTTAAACGCGTCAAATCTCGTTTAGTTCCAAAAACGGTCAATTTTTTGGAAAAACAGCGTCACGCTGACATCTGTGAAACAATGGTTTTTGACTACCAAGACGTTATGAAACGCATCATTACTAGAGACGAGACTTGGATCTACGTTTACTACTCGGAAACAGCCGATCAATTGAGTGAATATCGAGCAAAAGGTGAACCAATACCGAAAAAACCACGCCAAAATCTATGAATTTCTTCCAACCGGCCAAACTGTTATCAAGGAATATTATTTGAGTATTATGCGTCGTTTGTGTGATGCTTTTCGCCGCAAAAGCCGGAATTATGGACAGACAACTCTTGGTTTTTGCATCATGATAATGCACCGGCTCACACAGCATAATTGATAATTCGAGACCATTTGGCTAAAAATTCAACCCATATAGTTCCGCAACCACCGTATTCGCCTGATTTAGCACCAAGTGACTTCTGACTATTCCCTAAACTCAAATGACCACTACTTGGACATCGTTTCGACTCGATCGAGGAAATAAAAGGCGAATCGACGAAAGCATTGAAGGTCATACTGGAAAAAGACTGTTTTGAGAGATGGAAAAATCATTGGCATAAGTGCATTGTATCAGGTGGGAATTGCTTTGAAGGCGACGAAATGGATTTGGAAGCATAAATATATATTTATTATTTTTTAAACAAATTCACCTTATTTTTTTGACAACGGTTTTATCCAGCTGTGCAGGAATGGATATGATAATTTTAAAAGAAACGTAAAAAAATATTCATTTGCACTTGGGTTGTCCCAAAATTCATGCAAGAAGTAATTTTGATAAAAAACACAGGTTTTTAATTAACAATTGTAATTTCTTTATTGATTCATAAAGTATACAGTACAGAGTGATGTATGGAATAGTGTATCGGATATAAAACCTACACGGCTTTGCTGGCAGATACGCACTTTGTTGTTGAAATTTTCCACCACCGTTTTGCATAAATGCGGCTGAATTTAGTTGACACAGCGCTCAGTTTCCACCAACATAAACCTTAGACTTCAAAAAAATCGAAAGAAAAAAGTCTAACGGCGTTAATTTGGATGATCTGGGTGGCTAATTCTAATCATAAAACGGTAAATTACGCGACCACGAAATAACTCATGCAGTAATTGTTTCTCGAGCTGTATGGAATGTGGCACCGTCTTATTGAAACCACATGTCGTCGTCATTCATATCTTGCAATTTAGGCACAAGATACTGGATCATCATGTCGCGTTAGCGAGCACCATTAACTGTTGATCTAGCCTAAAATCCACACCAAACAGTGACAGGTTGTGGATGCATTTGTTTCTCAACAATCACTTGTTGGTTTTCTGAAACCCAAATGCGATATTTTTGTCGATTAACGAAACCACCAATATGCAAATGAGTATCATCGCAGAAGATGACTTTGTTGGAAAAATCAGTATCCATTTGTCGTTGCCTCATAATATAATCCATTCAAGGAACTCTCTTCACTCTGCGTGGTCAGTAGGTTTCAGTTCATGAGTCAATCGAACTTTGTAAGCATGAAGATGCAAATCTTTCTTGAGAATACGCTATAGAAAGCTTCCCGGAATGTCCAATTTTTTATCGTGATGTCAAATTGATGTTCCTGGACTTTCGGCAACACTCACGAATTGCTGCGATGTTTTGTGTTGAACGACTGGTTGGAGGACGGCCAGAGTGTTTAAGATCACTAATTGATTCAGTTTCCCTGGATTTTTCAATTAATCTCTTCACAGTTGATGAAGTTAAATCACTATTCCTGCCATATTTTGTACGAATATTGCGAACTGTAGCTGCCAAACCTTCATTATTTTTAAAATATCGCTCTACAATGAAAACGAGTTGTTCTTTCGTATAGTGCTTCATTTTTAATAACCCTGAACTGTCAGCTTTCACGCTGTTTTTTTCGTTTTCAACACATATCCTAGTTTATTTTAAAAGAAAAGTGTATCTGTTGCATACTGGGTTGAAATATGTATAATTAATTACCTATCTATGTATCTATTGACGTGCTAAAAGTAAAAAATGTGTATTTAACATTAAATATATGTGGTATATTAACTTGTCTAGATAATCGCCTAGTGCTGATATGGTGGTCCTTTTTAATACTTCTAATTCTAGAATCTAATTTAATGAAATTGCCTTTTATTGATACTCTTTTGTAAACGTCAAAAATGACAGATAAAGTCATACTGTACTAATTGTAAAACTGCATACTTTACTTTGTGTACGAAATGACGTTGTTTCACAAAATCCCGACTTTCTCAAAAACCGTTTTTTCGAAAAATTTGAGAGTAAAAAATTATTAAAATTAAATTTCCTATAATACTGGTAAAACTATTTAATAATTGGCATACTGATAAAAAATCGAAATCATTTTAAGGGCGCCCTTATTGGGATTTCAACAAATAAAAAATATTTTTATCAATTAAAGATAACAATAAACGCAAATCATGTACAAATTTGCTCATCTTCAGATGACAATATCTCTTCAACGGTACATCCCAGAAAAAAATTTTACATAACAAATCGGCATATTTTAAGATCCTCTACATGTGCCTGCTCTATGTCGGTAGAGTTATGAAATACCGTGTATGTTAATACACAGTGTGAGTTGGAAGGAACGCCGTTAACTTAAGGAGTATATTATATGCACAGAAATAATTAAAAACTTAAATATTAAACTGAAACATTGTTATCCGATTTTAAAAATTTTTGATTTTTATTGTTTTCTATAACTAAACTGGGTTTTTGTGAGACGGTATTTGATATCATCTTTTGATACTGTTTTATTAATTTAAGCTTAACTAGAATAACATCATTTATTTCATGAGCACTACAATAGAACAATGCGTGTGAGGAATTTTGTTATGACGATTAATTCAAAAACAAGTAATCGAATAATCGTGTACTTGTTTAGTTGGAATATCACATTTAGGTTATAATGCTTAGGTACACTTGATAAATTAAATATTTCATTCCCTCTTATAGATGGTGGTTCCAGTTAGAGAAATAAAGTCCGGAATGAACATATCTGCCACCACTGAATACTCTATAGATAAAAACTTCTTAACTCCCTCGAAGCGGTTTGTCTGGATCATGGGTGGATGGGGACCTTGCACTGCTACGTGTGGAGGGGGACAACGGCAGAAAACAACGGCATGCTGGGATAATAAATATAATAAAGTAGTTAAGAGAACTTACTGCTCCCTTCTCTTGAAACCAAAACTCAGTTCTGAAAGATGTAATACCTTTGGGTGTGTATTGTTCTGTTTTAATTATGCACTCTTTCCCTTGCTTCCTGTTTTATTTCCTCGTACATAGCACATATATTTCATGTCAAGCAATGTTTAAAGGGCTGTGTAATTAAACAGATAATTTTAAATTTAATGAGTGCAAGAAAGTCCTAGTTAGTCATAACTTAACATTAATCTTATTCCTAGCCATAGAGTCTCATCTTTTTGCACTTTTTAGAACATTAATTATTCTCTCCATATTTAACATATAAATATAAACCCATTTGAACTGCCTTTGATAATACAAGCTGATTCAGAACTTATCCAAAAAAAAATTAATATATTTGAACTTATACAAATACAATTTTGTAAAAAATAATCAAACAAAGATTTAAAAATACACTTCTGCACTGCACTGGAAACTGGTCCACTGTAAAACCTGACCTTGCTCATGGCAAAATATGCAGCGGCGACTGGCACGGCGGTAAAATGTAGTAAAAAAGAACAAAAAATTGAAAGAATTTCTTTCCCAAGGAAAGAAATAAATGAAATTTTATAACACCTATTTTATATTAGGAAATTCAACTGCTTTTGCCGCTATTGTTATTATTAATTAATAAAATTAATTTGTTGTTCTAATTAATAAAATAATTTGACATACCTGACGTTACAACTGAACAAAATTTTTGTCTACCGACATTTGGGCCCGTCTTATCCAGTTTCTATGAACAAATGTTGACTTGCTTCACCATAACACAAATGTTGTCTTGGCGTTAGAGACTACAGTAGTCCAGCGGTGTAAGGGTTGAAAATACTACAACTTCAATAATCTTTTTCTCGGAAACTATAAGGATTTTACAAAAAATTTTTTACAATATTGACTCCATTTTTCATGACGCATCTATTTCCAGTTGTTTTGGATAAGTCGTGAAACACCCTGTATACTTTGCTTTATATAATTTACTTTTATTTTATTGCTAGGTTTTAATAAATTACCATAAATTATTTAAATGATCTTCATGGAAATTGAAATAAATATTCTGTAGGTACTACCATTTTCTGAAAAGGTTTTTGAAGATGTTTCCTGATTTTAAATAATGCAAATTATTATTTCAATTGTTATAATACAATCAACTTTCATTAGGTGCAATTTTCAATGGATTGCGGGAGAATGGGAACCATGTACAAAATCTTGTGGTACCATTGGCATGCAAAGCAGAGAACTTTACTGTGTTCCGAGTTCGGTACTAAATGAAGCACTCTTTAAATATAATGGTGTTGTTACAAATCCATGGCTGAATATGGTGAATCCTAAAAAATGTCCTGGTATAAAACCACCACCGCAAAGGCCTTGTAACAGGATACCTTGTCCTTCATATTGGACATTTGGGGAATGGAGTGAGGTAAAAGTGCAATTCATTGTTATGATAATTTTATTTGAAATTATTTGTTGGTAACAATAAATCCTACGCAGAATGTATAAGATATTTTTCTACTTATACAGGATGTTTGGGAAAGTTGGTACAAAATTTAAGGAGGTGAAAGTAGAGTTAAAAGTAGTAAAAAAAGTTCATATAAACATCGGTCCTCCGGAGCACCGTTACTGAGATAAGGCCTCTGTACAGGCGTTAATTATCAACCAAACATGATTCTGAAAGCGTCATTGTAATCTTAAAGACGTAATTAAGCAACCTATTAAACAATATCACCGTTTTTTTGACAACATTCTCAAATTGTGCATTAAAAAAACGTGTGTTTTTCGCTAAAAACAATTTGAGATAATTTCGTAACTTTTGGAGCCTCCGTTATAAACAAATTGAATTGTGCGAAAACTATTGCACCTACAGCGCCCACTTTTGGCACACTTTTAAAGTATGACAAAACCCTCAACTTGTCATAGCTTAACAATATCTTAACAATATCTTAACAATAAATGCGATAGTTATAAACAAATTAAAAAATGGGCACTTTTCTTGTTTTTTTTGCAATAATTTTTTAGTTTATTAACATATTTTAATTTAACAAATATCATTTTGTAGATAATTTTACTCCCTACAAGCTGTCTGAGAGTCACTTTTCGCTAAAATCGATGGTTTTCCCTGCTAAATGAAAAAACTGTTTTCCTCACTTATTTGTTTAAATAGAAAAGTTAGCTCATAAAAGTTTTTGACTCACGAGATGAGAGATGTCTTGTATTAAGTTTCTTTAGACAATTTTACAATAATCTCGCGGATATGACTTTTTTCGATATTCTCTTATTTTCGCTAATTTTCCTGGTGTATATGTGAAAATGTTAAAAAAAGTGACTGTTCTGAGCCATACATTATATAAAGAATAATTATTTCTGACTAAACTACGCAGAATTCGAAAAAAAAGTAAGGACATTTTTTCTTCAAAAAAGTCTAATTTATTAAAAAATAATATTATTTGCTTGATAGTTCAAACGAATAAAGAAAATTCGAAAAATTTATGTTAAGGGTAGTTAGAAAACTATCCTTATTCACAACCGCTTTTGATGAAACTTATGATAGTGAAATACCCTTATGGTATGATTATTACCTGCAATTTTCATTTCATTATATTAGTCGGAAAGAAAGTTATTTTAAAAAATATCCAAATGGTAAGACTCCTTTGGAGGGCCAAATCTCGGTAACGGTGCTCCGGAGGACCAATGTTTATAGCAACTTTTTTTACTATTATTGGTTCGACTTTCACCTCCTTAAATCTTATACCAACTTTTCCAAACATCTTGTATATTATGATTAATAGCCACAGCCCCACAAAAGAGAAAGTTGGAGGTCCGAAAGACAAAACCACGGTATCTATCTATTTTTGGAGTCGCTGGATCTGAATCCAGTGTGTCCGTTTGACTCGATCATGTACAGGTCAATAAAGGTCAATTGTAGAAAATTAATTGCCAACAAAGTACATCTACATATCTATACGTTTTTGAGACCGCTCAATCCGAATCCGGTGTCCGTTTGACCCGATCAAGTGTGGGTTAAGATCAGTTCAAGGTCAAATGTAGAGAATCAATTGCCAACAAAGTAAATCTACATATCAATAGTTTTTGGGTTGCTGAATTCGAATCCGAGGTCTGTTTGACCCGATCAGGTCTACTCAATAGTCTCAATTTCAAACATGGATGTTATAAACCTAACGAGTGGAGGCTGTTCATTGATTCGTCAAAGAGAATCATGACAGTTGTTCTACTGTATAATATAATATATTTATGGAGCCATACCTGTAACGCATTGTGTGATATTAAAAGAAGTTTACTGTAATATGCCGATAGTCTTAGAGAGGATCAAATACGAAGAACATAAATGGCAAATTTGTAGTGATCTTAAAATCATCACAATAATAATGGGTCAACAATCGAAATTCACAACAACTCTTTGTTTTTTTATGCGCATGATAGTCGGGATCAAAAAAACCATTATGTGAAGAGCGTCTGGCCTCCTAGAGAACCTTCGGTCCTTAGTTTAAGAATATAAAATATGAGCTGCTTGTTGGTCCGTCAAAAATCCTTATTACACCTCTGCACATAAAATTGGGACTCTTGAAACAATGGGTAACAGTTCTAAACAAAGAAGGTCAATGCTTTAAGTGATGCGAAATTGCATAAAGGGCCTCAGATCTGTAAGAAGTTAAAAGATCGCATTTTTGTTACTAAAATGAATGAAAACGAGAAAGCAACATGGTAATGTTTTAAGGAACTAATCGAATTTGGTAGAAATTTGGTGGAAAACCTTTAAAAATCTCTTGAAAAACTGTTCTCAAGAATCGCAATCGACAAGGACTCACTGTGTAAATTAATGTAGGTACATAAAGCATTAACGGACACGTTGGTTTAAAGCTTACTTAATTAGACTTATTGATACTAGAACTTTGTCATGTCAAAGCAATTACTCGAGAGTCACGGGCTCAGACTTAAAGCTTTATTTCTATCTCAGTTGCAAAAGCTTCAAAACAGGGCCATGAGAATCATACTACATTGTAATCGATATACACCAATTTATATTTTGTTAGATTGTAAATTTAAGCATGGTTTTAATTAATAAAATAAATAATGGTTTTCAGTCTTTATATTTAAACAAAATTTTGGTAAGAAATGAACAACTTCAGGAACACTCAACAAAATCGAGAAATCAATTTGATATAAATAAAACTGGTTCAAAGAATTCCTTATTTTTTAAAGGATTGGATAACTTTCACAAGCTACCAAAATGTAGCTATCTTTAAGAGATCTATAATACACTATATTAGCATGGTTTCTCATTAAATTTAATGTTATTGTTGTTTGTAGTGACTATACTCGTGTAGTTGGATAATTATTATTATATTAGTGGTTATAGAAGTAAGAAATTAGGATATGTCGTCTAACAGACATACTGTTTCTTTTGTGATTATTATTTTGAAATAAAGACATATCTATTTATTATTTATAATCTTATTTGTTACTCAAATTTTAATACACATAAATGCTTAATTTGAGTGTTTTGAGTTTAGAACTTGAAGAGTATTTAGCTGCCCTGACGGGTCAAATGAGCCTCATGTTCGGATTCAGCAACCCAAAAACGTATAGATATGTAGGTAAATTTACTTTGTTGGCAATTGATTATCTATATTTGACCTTGAACTGACCTTAACCCAGAACTGATCGGGCCAAACAGACAGCGGATTCGGAATCAGCGACCCCAAAAACGTATAGATACCATGGTCTTGTCTTTCGGACCTCCGGACTTTTTTTTGGGCTGTGTTTATGGATGAAAGTTTCCTCTTAAGCCAAAAATGCAATTTTCGTTTCATTTACTTATTTAAAACATTGAAGTTACCAAATCAGCAAAAACCTTCTTGTAAATTAATTCTAACAGAACATGTTATATAATAGATTTCTAAAAACATTTATTGCTATGTACAAATAAGTAAAAAAATATATCAATAAGTCGTTGCGTTATAGTTAATTTTTAATTAAAATGAATATAAAAATGTAGAGTAGAAAAAACTAAGTTTTTCCAACTTAGAAAAATACATTTTTTCGCATTTATCCCGCTCGTCGTTAATGATAGTCATGGATAAATTTTACACTAAAAAATTTTTAACTATGGCAAAATATACTATTTTGTACTCATATATTTAAAAGTAAGGATTTCCTCGCAGCTTATTCGGTACGAAAAATAATAACACTTTTCCTCTCCCAATTTATGATTTTCTTAATCAAAACACTAAACTAACTAAATTCTGGAGGTAAGCTGTTACAAATTCGCTTCTCACTACAGGGATCTAGAAAACGGTAAGAGATACAAACTAGCTTAAATGGGAGCAAACATTATGCCTCTAAAAAATCAAGGCTAACATGATTAGTTTTCGAAATATTTGAAAAAAACCGAAATTTTGGAAATCCGTTTTTGTTTTATTTCAGTCTTGTTGAGGTGACATTAAAAAAAGAACACTTTTGCGTGGCATAATCAATTTTTATATGTAACGTTTCGTCTCTCTAGGACCATCATCAACTTCATTTTTTTAAATACGACCCTAGAAATTTTATTACATTTTTTGCAAGCCTTCATGACCCCCAATACTGTACTGCCTCAGCCCGAATCAGATTCAGACATTTTGTCTCGAAAAATTCATCTTCAGTGTATTCGTTCCAAATTTATTTAAATTTTTTATTTAGATTTCTTTGTTTATTGAATTATCATACACTGTAAGTGTCGTTAGACCCTGTGAAATCCACCTAGTTATTTAAACTATTACCTACAACCACGCATTAAAATAAAAAGTTATTAAAGTTTTATTCCCTTGTCCATAGTTATTTCTAAGCTTCTCGAGTGCTCAAAATTCAAACAAATTCCGATTTATTTTTTTCAGGACATTTATACAAATACATCTGACATGCTCTATCACAGTTGCGGTTACAGGTATAATAAATTCCGGTAATATTACGCTGATATTCATTTTCAACCTTTGCCAAAACTGAAATGTTTTTGAACATTTACTGAAATGCATTTTTAAGAATTAATTTGTCATAATAAAATTAAAATTGTAATAATGTTTTAATTTTGACGAAACAACTTATTGAGTTATGTATAACCAAGTGATGGTAATAGTTAATAATAATAAATGTGTTATTGTAACGCGTGTTGGTAATAGTTTAAATAACTAGATGGATTTCACAGGGTCTAACGACACTTACAGTGTACGATAATTCAATAAACAAAGAAATATAAATAAAAAAATTAGATAAATTTGGAACGAATACACTGAAGATGAATTTTTCGAGACAAAACGTCCGAATCTGGTTCGGGCTAAAGCAGTATTGGGGATCATGAAAGCTTGCAAAAAATGTAATAAAATTTCTAGTCGTATAAAAAAAATTAAGTTGATAATGGTCCTGGAGAGACCAAACCTTACATATAAAAAATTGATTATGCTATTCGATAGAGGGCAAAAAGTGGCCATGAGAAAGTGTTCTTCTTCTTTCAATATCACCTCAAACAAAGCTGAAATGAAAAAAAAAAACGGATTTCCAAAATTTCGGTTTTTTTCAAATATTTCGAAAACTAATCATGATAGCCTTGATTTTTTAGAGGCATGATGTTGGTCCCCTGATTACGCAACTTTGTCCCCATTTAAGCTGCTTCATATCTCTTACCGTTTCCGAGATCCCTGTAGTGAGAAGCTAATTTGTAACAGCTTCAACCATTATGAAAATCACCCCTTGCAAAAAAAATCGAACAATTATAGTTAAAAATTTTTTTTAGTATATATTACAAAAATAAATAATGTTTAACGTCCAACGTAATACTTAGTATCAATAACGTCTATAGATGGCAACTAATTATGAAATCTATTTTTGTCTCAGAATTATTTTCATCACCATGTAACTACGCTTCTACTAAGATATAAAGTCAAATTCGGTCACGGTTGAAGATACAAAAATTTGTTCAGTTTTTAGCTTAAAGCTCCAGTATTTTGAAAATATAATCCAATGGAATTGTTGACCATTTAATTTAAAGAGAGTACAATTTAAGAACTTCCTTGCAGTACTTAATGCCTATATTAACTTCACCAGCTGCTGACATAAGAGGTCTATTCAGAAAATAACCAAACTTTTTGAATTACGCGCTAATGAAGATATTTAGTGATTTGCGATTGCTAGTATTGCGTTGCGCATAATCTCCTCTTTAACCACATGTTCTTAGATTGATTATATTTAATTTAGTTTTCGTGATACTGTCACTTGAGTGCAACATGTTAGTGACAATTCTCGAAATGTGCAATTTTCTGGAACAACGATACAATACGTAAAATTTCCCTTGAAAGTGGAGAAAACTTTCATAAAAACGTTTCAGCTTTTGTAACAAGCTTACGGTGGCAATGCTTTGGGTCGTACGCAATGTTTCGAATGGTTTTCACGATTTAAAAGTGATCGTCAGTAAATTGAAGATGAACCTCGACCAGAAAGGCCTTTGACTTCAACTGAAGACTTACACCTTCAGAAAGTCAAAGATCTGATAAAAGTTGCAGAAGAGGTTAGCATCTCAATTGGATCATGTCATGTAATTTTGACTGAAAAATTGAACATGCATCGAGTTGCAGTAGAATTTGTTCCTCGCTTAATGATCGAACCACAAAAAGAAAATCGTGTCGACGTTTGTAGGCAACTCCTTGAATAATCCAATAAAGAAATATTCATTCAAGGGATCATAACGGAAGACTAAAGCTGGCTATACGGCTACGACATTGAAACAAATGTTCAATTATCACAATTATTTAACAAAGGATCTACACGTTCCAAGTACGTCAGTCTCGATCCATTGTCAAAGTGATGCTCACTGTTATTTTCGATTTTAATGGAATTGTGAATTTTGAATCCTTGCCTCAAGGTGAAACAGTGAACTAAGTGTACTACCAAGCCGTTTTACAACGGTTACGTGAAAAAATTCACAAAAGGACATCATGGTTCTTGTACCATGACACACTCAGCTTTGTCAATTCGTCAGTTTTGTGTCAAAAATCAGATTACCGTCCTTCCTCACACTCCTTACTCGGCAGACCTGGCTATTTATCCAGGACTACTTCGTGAAATGGAAGCAACGCTAGGATGGGTGTGTGAATAGGGGGGGGAGGAGGGGAGAGGGACATTTTGAAGGAGATAAGAGCCAATAATGTATAAAATTAATAATAAAGTTTAAAAAAAATAATGTTCGATTATTTTCTCAACAGACCTCTTTTATTTCTATATTGTTATTTTCTGAACAAGAATTTAATTGTCTGCTGTGGAGATTTGCATAGATCCATGACAATCACACTGAGAACATGCAATATGGTCTATATCTTTATCTTTATGGAAAAATAGGTATTTATTCGTAGCATTGAAACTAAGCATTAAAAAATTAAAATCTAACTTAATTTTTACTTTATTTAATATAAAATCCTCTTATAAAATTTTAATTACTCTATTAACGGTTTAGATGATTGTACTTTTGCTTTCAGTGTTCAGCTTCATGTGGTTCTGGTTTCCAAATTAGATCCTCTCATTGTCTTCCACCGGGGGACGAGAATTTTTACACTTGTGGTGATGCTCCTCCTCTTCAAAAGCGTGTCTGCTACGGAAACTATACAAAACATACAAGCCCGCTATGCAGAGGAAGAAAGACGAAAATATGTAATGAGGATCAGTCCGAATACTGTACTTTTGGTCTACTTCATAAGTATTGTAAAATCAACGGATTCAGAAAACTTTGCTGTAAGACGTGTGCACAGTATTATACAATAAATGCGAATGATCCTCAAAGCAACAGTTTGCATGCTAACTCTAATAATCTGTATCTGTCTACTTAAAACATACGTAGGGTTTGAGTTCACATATATTCAAATATTAACAAATGTACATGAATTTTTGAGTATGGTGTTATAATCTTGTTTATATTTTAAAACCCATATTGAAATATTGTTTTTTAGTTTAGTTTTGTACACAATAGCTAGAATAACATCAGAATAAATATTTTTTTAGTGATTTTGTTTCATGTAATTGTTTTTATTTGTTACGCCTTTTAGTGCAATTCCAAATATATCATTTACCTTTCATAACTCATGCTAGTTGCACAAAATTCCATGACCCAATTTTTCTTTATATAATAAAGATCTAATATCTTTTCTAATATACATATTTTTAACATAGGTAATTTTTAAAATACTATCATAATAATTAACACAAGATTGACTTTCAGCCAATTTTGCAAAATTTTGTTGTAAAAATGTTAAAATTTTTGTTTAACTGGCAAAGTAACATAATTTAAAAGGGCAAAATTGTAGCTTTTTACTAAAGTTAATTTTTAACTATTATATCATTTAAGAATTTTGAACTGAAAAGCTAATGATTTTCTAAATAACCAACTGTAATCCAAATAAGTATTTATGCTACGTGTTAAAAATGAAGAAACGTGTTTTTTGCACAATTTTTAGTATACTTTCTAATAGAAGTATTCCCCTTTGAAGCTAACATTTTTAGATACAGGGTGTTAGCACCTCAAAAAAATATCTCCATCTTTTAAACAAATGTAGAAATTGATATGAAATTTTGTGGTCATGATATCGCATTCAACTTGGAAAAAAATAAATTATACTTCAAACCAGGGGCATAGATATGGGTCTATTGATTACATATTACTTAAAAATTATATCACGGCACCGAACAAAAATGCTTGACCTGTTGATATTTTGGCGGAGTTTTTACAGTTTTATAAAGATCAGCATCTCCATCTGTTTAGAACTTCAGCAACCTATATCTCGAAAAAAGTCTTCAGGGCAAAAGTTTATGCAAGAAAATATTCTAAAATATGGACAAAGAAAACAGTGCTTCATTTTTTATATGTTTATAGTATCCCGTATACCGAATGTAATTTAGGCATGAAAAAATAATATCAATTTATTTGGAAAATGAGGTATTATTTTCTTAATTCTAAAAAGCTTGCCATATAATTAAATTAACTGATAGTGAATCTGAAGCTTCCCATTTTATGGAAAAAAGTATGGAAGCTTTTAATACAACTTAAACACAGTGTGAACATCACAAGTAAAAAAAAATCACTGATGTACAGGGTAATATACATAACAATATACCCCGTTATCTTTTTATCTTCTTATTTAAGAAAAAATGGTAAGAGCAAAATTGAAGTAAAATTAATGGCGCTATCAAGGAAATATCACTATCACTACATATTATAAAACAGTCCTCCGCCGCGTCTGTCTGTCCTTCTGTCTGTCTGTTCGCGATAAACTCAAAAACTACTGCACCGATTTTCATGCTGTTTTCACCAATGGATGGAGTGCTTCTCGAGGAAGGTTTTAGTATATAATTTGTTAAGTTTTTGTATACATTAACGATATTTGTTGGAGGTGTCGGAAAAAAATAAGCCGTCTGGGAGCTTTCAACGAAAACGCTGCCTAAACCCTTTGAGATATAACAAAATAATGTATGGTGGAATTGTGTATCTTATATAGGTCTACAGAAAAGTCCGCGATGGCATATGTCTATCTCTTAAGGATAACATACTATATCCATTTTAATACTTTAAAAAATGGGCAATTATAAAGCGGTAATTGGAAAGCTATTTACACAAATACGGTATTAATCCTTATCATTTTAAATACGTTAGTTGGCTTGAGCATTTCATGAAGATTATTTTTTCCCTTTACACCATGCAAATTAAATGAATACCTTAGGAGATATAGCAAAATCAAAATAATGCGCAACGAAATTAATTTCGTGTCGCCGTGATTCGACCGGGCCGCGCGGGCGCCCCGTGACCCCGCGCCTCGCGTCCGAGCCGGGGGGGTCCGAAAGTTTATGTAGTGTATCAATGTATGGTGGAATTGTGTATCTTATATATGCCTACAGAAAAGTCCGCGATGGCATATGTCTATATGTTAAAGATAACATACTACCTATATCCATTTTAATACTTTAAAAAATTGGCAATTATAAAGCGGTAATGTAAAAGCTATTTACACAAATACGGTATTAATCCTTATCATTTTAAATAAGTTAGAGGCTTTAAGCATTTCATGCACATTATTTTACTCTTTTACACCATATAATTTAAATGAATATCTTAGGAGTAATCGCAAAAAAATTACGGACGCGAGAATAAAATTCAAGCGCCTCGCTTCGCTTGATGCGATCGCCGACCCTCCCCCCGCACCGTCTTGCCTACTGTTTAGCTAATAAGCCGAACGATAACGCGCGCGTGATCCTTTAATAAACTGACTTGGAGCGAATGGAGGTGACGACTGACGACTGTGTTTTCTTTCTGGGTGTTGTTGGAAAGTTATAATTGCGTTCGATATTTTAAGGTCACATTTTTGTTTTGTATTTGTTGTCTTTAGGTAGTCGGAACATACATAGATACTTGCAAACATACTTTTATTTCATTGAGTTTTAATAATTTGTTTGTTTTTTTCTTATTGTGAATCATTTAAAACTTCATAGTCGCATTTTTGTTTCGTGTTTGTTTTCTTTAGGTAGTTAGATACCTAACTACTTACTTATTAATTAAAATTGATAGTCCTGAACATAGGTACTTTAATTTAATTCGTTTTGTTTTCACATTGTTGGTAGTTACCTATATTGTTTTAAATTTAAAGGTTTTGCATTTTTAGTTTTGAGTTCGTTTGTTGTCTTTAGGTATATAGATATATCGTGAATTATTTTAAAATTAATATTAGGGTCGCATTAGATGAAAGATGATTGATTTTTTGTTTGTTACGATTTAACTCAAAAACTACTCAACCAATCGAAAGCTACATCTCCTCGGAGTAACATAGGCTATTTTACATTTGCCCGTGCGAACCCGGGGCGGGTTGCTAGTATATCTATAAAAAACAATTAATTGACTGTTGCGTTTCGAAGATGTAAACCAAACTTTTGTTTTTTTTGTATGTAACACCTTGTATATTTTTTGCTTAATGGAATATTCAAATTTTTCTGTTTACAGTGGCAAATATGTGTTATATATATTTACTTTAACAGTTTGCATAATATTTTGGTTTACCTACTCAAACTCTATAATGGATAGTCAACAATGCCTTAGAATTAGGGCGTATTTATATTTTTTCCCTGTCAAATTTACTAAACAGATCTTTAAATCCTTTATTAAAAAAAACTATAGGCACTATAAAACTTTTTTATAATAACCTCATCCTGTTCTAGACAGACATTTCTTAAGAAGAGATAGTTTAATGATACCCAGGAAGACCTAATTTGACGGTCATATCGTTCTTTCTACGGGGGATAAATAAGGCAAGTAACAAGGCATTAAAAAAATTGCATGGAATGCATATGTGTCCTTTGTCGAGAATAGGATGAAGGTATTATGAAGCACCTTTCATAAGAATTTCTAATACAGAATTTAAAGATTTGTTTAGTAAATTTAACAGTGAAAAAATACCAAAATATTGGTTATTTATATTGGTTTTTTATATTGCTTTAAAAATGCAAGAAGTTTTGTAAAACTTTTGTTTATACCATTTTTCTAGACAGAAAGATAAAAAAGGTAAAGTGGGCAGAATATTATGTGGATGGCCATATAATACACTCAAATGTAAATTTTTTTGAAGACGACATTGCATGTATACAAGGTTACTTTTGAAGAAAGATTTGTATATATTTTTTTGCAAAATGAGTAATTTTAGAGTTGAATTAAACTTATACATCTTGTGGTAAACTTATTTTACATTAAAAAATGATAGCTAAGTCGTTTTGTCAAATAAAAAGAAATATATATTTTCTGTTTGAAATATCAAGTGCATGAAATTAAATGTATTAAACTAATTTTCAAAATTTTTAGTGGAGTCTAAATACTGGAGTTAACTATTTAACAGAACTGTGTATAAATTCAATGAATTTTTATCTGTCTATTTAAATAATTAGTTCAATTTGTTACGTCAAGTAACCTAAAACACCTAAACTTTTTTTCGACAAATGAACCAAAAAATTATTTCCAGATATATTTTCACGTATTTAAGGGTTACCCTATCCCTATATTTTAGAACAAATACTATATTACATAAAAAAATAAAATATGTAATTATATTGTGTCAGTTTAAAACTTCCCACCCTTAACGTAGGTACCATGTTTCAAAATATAGCAATTTCTCTGGACTGATATTGTTAGTAGGTGACACACTGTAATAAAAAGAATTTCGTATCCTACGGTTGAAGAATCATGTCTTAGGATGATTTTAAAAGAAATTGTTACGCTCAGTTTTTATTTGTTTAACGAAAGTTTATTATAATGGCACTGATGCACCCTATAAAATAAATATCGGAGCATGAAGTCTTTTTTAATATCTTTTAAAACAAGTATAGTAAGTACAACAGTTCCATTTAATATCTTCGTATATGTGCTAGTGACTAACGGGTGACCTCCAAAATGTAAACTTAGGGAGTGACTCAACAATAATAAAACCTACCGCACAGGTCTCCTTTTTCCAACAAAAATCCACCTATTTTCGGAAATTTTTATATTTCAAACGGTTTTTTAAATTACTCAGACTAGGACGTTTCTATACTGACAGAGTGTACGTACCTTAAATATTTTTGTAAATGATTCAAGATTTTGAAATTTTAAATAAATTGTAGCATAATTTTTATTCTGTTTAAATATCATAGCTGAATATCAAACAATAATTATTTTCTTTATTTTATTTACAAACTATAACGGGGTAAGAACATTTTTACATCCTATCCTAAAATTAAATACTAAATGTCGTTACTTATAACTACAAATAAAATGTTAACAGTTCTTCGTTTCAACAAAAACAAGGAAATGTTTTCGCTTTATAACTTTAAAACGTGGTTTCGTCCTTCAGACCATCCTTAACCTCGCCTGACATCTGAAAATAAAAATATAATATTAATTCAAATTAGATTTTAAATTTACCATTATGAATATTTATTTTATAAATAAAAGAGAAGTGACAAAATCTTGTGTTGTATTGTATAGTATATAAGATTAAGTAATTGAAAATAATTATTAAACATTTTTATATAAACCATGTACTTTAGAAGATAGGAGAAAAGCATATGTAATAAAAAGTGAATACTCTATAAATGGGGCGGATATACTTTTTACGAATTTATGTCATTTATTTTAACAATTAATGTTAACTATTATCAATTGCCTTATTACTTATAAATACAAAGTTGGTTGAATTACCAAAGAAGTAGCAATTAAATAGATGCTAAACGAAAACAATTGAAAATTGGATATACTGTGTATATTCATCAATTTTTTGTGTTGAATTAATTTATGTAAAGAAAACTATAACACTGCATTTAAAATTTTTGAGAAAAATCCATAAAACGGCATTCTTTTGAAATAACGCCGTCTATAGGTTTCCATATTGAGGTAAATGACATTACGCATTCACCACGAGATAAAGCATGAAAACACCTTTCCAACGAGGTATAACTATGGGCTTTTCATGAGCCAATCCTTAAAAAATGCATTTTTCTGATCAGGCATTAGGGGCTTCCCCCACTCTTTCTGTCAAGAGATAGAACAAAATGTCAATAAAAAAAGTTTTGCGCAACGAATCCGGCTATCCAGATTTGTACTATTTAATATACCTGAATAGGAAACATTTCTGAAAAAAATTCAATTATATGTTTTGTTATGTAGATTACGCCCCCGAGCGGCCTAGCTACGAACTTGAAAACTATTTCCAACGATTTCTCTTAGTCGATTTATTCATCATAGTTTTTTCTCGAAGTTCTAGGGCCTATACTTTCCCTAATATCGTACCTCGTTGACCTTAGTGGGACACCCTGTATATTAACATATTTGGAAGACCAATTATTCAGGATATCAACGATATAAGGTTTGATGGAAAGGGAGGTACACCTACAAGTACTATCACAGAATAAATAGCTACGCGTAGCTATTTATTCTGTGGTACTATGTGTTAAAAAGCGTCTCCAGAGGGATTGATTTGTTGCTAAGTTAAGAAGTCTTACTACATTACTTTAAGATATGTTTTATTTATTATCCTACTATAGATAAAAAATACTCAATTGAAACAGGAAATTTTGATAAATATACTGTTCTAATTGTCTTTTTATTTTGGTTAGTTATTACTCAGCAAATAAATTGCTATTTCATTATTAATTTAAATTACAGGAAGATATGGCCAGCTCAAGGCCCTGCTTAACAATATTTACTTATTTATTCACATGTCAGGGTCTATTTTTAGATTAATATTAAATGCACTCAAAAAGTGATAAACTTTAAAGAGAACAAATGTGATAAAGGAATGGAATACATTAAAAATACAGTAGACTTATAAAAGTTGAAAATGAAACAAAATCTAAGTGATTAGAAAAACTGTTGTCCATTGATGAGCATCGAGTATCAAATTTTAATTTCTTTTTTATCTTCATACCCAGTTTAAGTTTGTTCTTAGAAGTGGACACAAGCTTTTTATTATTCATTTCAATGTTTGTACTTATTCGGTTTGATACAACAGTAGTTTCTTTTTTGTGGTCAAACTATCATTGCATCAAACTAAATAAACAATGAGACAAAAAGATTCCTTTGTGTTGATATATAAGTAATACACTCCCAACAATTCTTTTGTGCTTTTGAAGATGACATTGCATGTAGACATCTTTGAAGAAATATTTGTACATATTTTTTTGGGAAATGAGTAATTTTAGAGTTGATTTGAACTTATACAACTCGTGGCAAATTTACTTTACATTAAACTAGGTAACTAGGAACTAGTTTTGCGATATAAAAAGGAATAGATATGAAATATGAATATGAAATACCAAATGCATGAAATAAAATGTATTAAACTAATTTTCAATGCAGTCAAAATACTGGGGTTAAATGTTAAACTGTGTACAAATTCATTGAATTTTTGTCTCTATTTAGTTAAATAATTAGCTCAAGTTTTATCTATGTCAAATACCCTAAGAAATAATAAACTTATTTTCTGCAAATGAACCAAAGAATTATTTCCAGATTATTATTTGTCTTCATCCTCAGAAACATCGAAGCTCCCCTATTAAGTTTGTTCTTGGAAGTGGAAACAAGCTTTTCATGATTCATTTCAATGTTTGTACTTATTGAGTTTGACACAACAGTAGTTTCACTTTTTGTGTTCAAACGACCATTGCATCAAACTAAATAAACAATGAGAACATAAAAGATTCCTTAGTGTTGATATATAAAATGATTTAAAAAAAAATGGCGAGACTAAATGCTGTCCAAGAAATAGTTACACTGAAAGTTAAAAGTTACTTTTATATGCTACTTAAGAACTTCCATTGCACTTGTTTCAGTCTATTTATGCTTTTTCTCAAAGCAAAAAACAGGGAGACTAGACAAGGAGCACGAACTCATATGGAAAATTGACAAAATTTGTCAATGTATTAATAGAAATTACTTGAGAAACTCTCGTGCAAAACTTGAAGTCTAAGATATACAATTTTTCAAAATATAAGAATTCTTTCTCAATGCAATTCCATTTGTTCTAAAAAAATTATTGTAAAGCTTATTCTACAAATACTTAAACATAAAAAAAGTAAAAATTTGTATAAACAATTTTTCCCAGAATGACTTTTTATTTCTTAATTTTGAAGACTTTTGAGGAATTGAATAATGAATAAAATAAGTCTAGTAGTCCGGGCGAATGGGTTTAAAATTAAGTAAAAAATACACAGAATAAAAGCCTAAACTTGTGTATTTGTAGAGGTCGAGAAAATAAAATAATTGCTTTTTTTCAGTTTTTCGCTTATATCTCCGAAAATAAGCGACATGAGGTATACTTATTGATTTTGTTCCTAAGGAAATTTGCTACAAGGGTAGGCTTTTGCGAAAGTTCGCAAAAAATTTTTTTATTTTGCAACTTAAAAATCTGAAATTTACACAGACGCGAGATAATGTAATTACCTTTAGATCCTTTCTTGCCGAATTTCGATATCTTGACTTGGGCAGAAGATACACGCGCTCGCGTTTTCGACAATATAATTTTGCTATACGCCGCCATTTTTTTTGGGGGGTCCGGATTGCAGATATTTGTTGAGCACCCCAACAGTTATCTTTTCCTGTAGTTTCATCCAAGTTCAGTCAAATTTGTTATTTTTATTTAATTCTGAAAATTTAGTACATTTATCTATTCATCGCTAATTTTGCAATATAAAAAAAATGTTGCGAACTTTCGCAAAAGCCTACCCTTATAGCAAATTTTTTCTGGAACAAAATCAATAAGTATACCTCATGTCGATTAGAGGCTTATTTTTGGAAATATAAGCAAAAAACTGAAAATAAGCAATTATTTTATTTTCTTTTTTGTACCTAGCCTTATTTGAAACAATATTGACAATTAGCAAACACATCTTCATTGACACATTTTGCCCTCTATTCGATTTCTTATACAACGTTTCGCCTTTCCGGGGCTATCATCAGGTTAATTTTTTTAAGTATAGTTGCAGTTTTGGTAGCAATTCATGATGTTTTTCACATACAACAAACAGCAAGTTTAAATTTTAACATTTCGTTCTGTATTTGACCTTCCATCTTCAGGTGTCCAAACTTCCAAATCTCTTTATTTTGGATCAGTTAAATGTTTAGAAAGCTTTTTTATAAGAGTTTAAGCCAACGTACATTAAAATACTACGTTTCAAAAATATGAAGTTATTTTTTCTTTGACACCATTTCTTAGTAGAAAAATAGGGTAAAAAAAAATAACTATCTCATATTTTCGAAAGTTAGTATTTTAACGTAAGTTTGGTTATCTCACAATTTTTTTAATTTAGCATTTAAACATAAGTTTAACCCTTACAAAAAGGTCTTCTAAATATTCTACTGAGCCAAAACTCAAAACAAAGAGATACAAATCTATGTTAGGACACCTGAAGATAGAAGGCCAAATAAAGAACGAAACGTTTGACAAGAAAAAATTAATTAATTATATTTTTAAAAATTTAAGTTTTTCCCAAATATGTATTTCAAAAATAAATTGAGATATTCTTGACTTCTTGGTACCATATTTTTAGCCTCCTAATTGCGTAACTTTGTTTTAATTTAACCTTTGTAAGTATCTCTTATAGAGAAGGGAAAAGATTGGGTCTTTTGATTTTGAGGGTTTGAACCCGGTTTAAACCCATTTGAAAAGAC